CTCTGTCAGCCTGGCTACAGTGCTGAAGAGGAACCTAGGGTTGTTCTTATTTTCTTCTATTAGTGCTGAGTAGCAAATAGTAGTAGTAAATGGAGCATTAGATGGACATGAAGGTTGGTGCACCATCAGCAAGCTATCGGGGCATTGTACTAGAACATTGTGGTAAAGAGGGAGCTGAGACAGAAGGCAATGAGCTTTGGATAGGGGCAGAAAGAATGAGATTGTGGAAAATGGCCAGTCTAAAAGAATATCCTCCGTAAATTGGCTGGGCTCGCCCTTACAGACAGAGTGAAGAGCTCAAACATCAAGAAGGAGCATGGAGTAGGGCCACTGCCCATTTGTGTCGAAAGAAGACAAAGAAGAGTTGGTTTGGGCATCAGGATAAGTTAATGACTTCAGTGAAATGTCCTGCAGCTCCACCAGCAGGACAGTACTCTCTTACTGAATCCTCTGAAAAATCTCTCAATGTGGTGGCACAAAACATTTTACAGACATTCTTGATGCATCCTGATGACTGCGGTGATCTCCTGACTTTCCCTCTAGCACCACCATGACATTGACATTTGTAGCTTTGAAGAAAATGTCTGAACACTTACTGGATGGCTTGCCATGGAATTTGGTAGAATTCATGTTCCCCTCAGCAAGAACTGTAATTACTTTGGCATCAATACGATCGCCCCCTGGTGGCTGACTGCAATATTGGTCATAAAACCCGCTGCCTCCATGTCAGCAGATGGGACAAACTAAATAATCAAATTACACGTCAAATCAATTTTTCTAAAAATGGTTTCTGGGATTTTAGGTGGCTTCCTATCACGCTGATGTATGTTCAAGTTTTAATTTTTGAGATAAGTTTGGTTTTAATTAGCTGTTTGAAGCTATAAAAAGGGGGTTTCACATTATGATTGACAGCTGAGCCCTGCTCGGGTTGAGTTGGCCAGGCGTATGGGTGGGACCTCGGCACCAACCCCGATCATTACTGCATGGACTCCGAGTGGTGAAAGAATATCCAGGATATTTTGGCTTAATTTTTGTACAGTGGAAGTATATTTGTCCATAGTATGTTAAGTAGTTGAATTGTTCCTTTTCTTGTTTAATCAGGTTCTAGTAGGAAAGAAACCATTACAACGTTGCATGTTCTGTCACAGTATATTTTAATTCAGCGTTTCACTACTTTTACTACAAAGTTTTCAGGAAATGTATAGCATGCAGTAATACAAAAATGAGAGTGGTTAACTGAATACACAGGAGAGAATCAGTTATCATGAATTTGTGAATAAATGCAATGGTTGTAATCAGTGAAACCATGCTATGTGTAAGATGACCAGCGACTGGTCCTGGATCTCTACACCAACACAGAGGTCAGACTGATGTCACCGTCAATCTCCAGGAGGGTAATGTGTTGGAGCGGAGTGAAACGGTGCTTATAGTTGTGTGCCTGCATCCCATTGGCCACAATCCTGAAGGCGTTATTCTCACAACAGATGGTGAGCTGAAAGAAAAAAAGGGCCATTTTAAAATCACATATCTGAAGACCCTCCCTGATAGCTTTCTCATGCTACCACTAGAAGGCGCCAAAGTTCCACACATCGGGGCTTTAAGACTCCTCAGGCTCAAGTGGGAAGTAGTGGGAAATCAACTACTGTACTTGACTGCTGGTGTTTGTTTTCTCTCTCCTCTTTCTCTTTTTGTTTAACTGTCTTTGTGTTTCTCCAACTACAAAACAGAATGTGACTGTGTCTTTACTGTTTTAGTACAGACCTTTGGGAATCAACTTCCCCGATCATTTAGATTTGCTGAGATCTTTGGACGACTCCTTAAAACCTCTCTAGGCAAGCCTTTTTATCTCCTTTGTTTTTGTTATTGTTTGGTCTATCTCTTGTTGCTCTGTTTCATTTTGTAATTCAATCTTTTCTTCTTGTTTTATTATATTTTGTGTGTGTATTATGTGTGTGTGTGAAGCACTTGGTAACCATATGTTTTAAAAAGTGCTTCATAAATTAAGCTTTAATTATTTAGATTCAGTGTATAGCAAATGAGCAAATAAGAACAAAGTCAGAATTCTAAATGAACATATCTGATTGTACTGTATTATACTTTCTTTTTTGCTGAATTTTTAATTTGGTCACAAATTATGCAAATAACCCAAACTGACTTTTATCTTCAGTTTTTAATTTCAGAAATGTACTATAGAATTCAGACATTAACCTTTAGATGTCGTGTGTGTGTGTGTGTGTGTGTGTGTGTGTACAAACTTATGTACTGTACTAAAATGCAAGCCTAATGAAACACTCCACTTGGTCTGGGTGAAGTATTGCAGTGGTACCGTGAAAGGCTGTCCCCGATGGAAGGGCATCCCTCCGTTGCGGTCCTCGGAGCCCCACTGCTGCCCCTGCTTGGTGTTTCGAACAACAATGTTCTCGTTGAAACGTGGATTGTAATGCAGAGCAATGCCAGAGTGATGGCTGAGATTCACATGAAACCTGAGAGTAAGCACAGGGGAAAGAGTGAGTAGAACATGAATGCTTTCTTAGATTTAAGTCTTCAAAGGAGAACCAATTTGACAGATAAAGGTCAATCTATAAGTCACAGGGACGACTACTTATCCGCTGAAAACAGTTCTATAATGTCAATGCAATGCAAGTGGTTGCGCAAGTAAAGTTTTGGGATGTTCGGTTGTGCTGGATAACTGCACAGCATTTTTATCAGTAAACCTGCATGACAAACTGTTGAGCTTGATCTAATGAAAAATCTCAACTGAGTTGCATTATGGGAAGTTTAGGATCCAGGGTTTCTACAGCTTTACCCAAACTAGGGACTAAAAGTCAATATCTTGACCTTTGCGGATTCAATTTTTTGAATTTATCTGTCTCTGGTGAATTCCCCATCCATTTTCAGGTTGCCCTTTAAAGCTGCAGTAGATAGGTCCTATAAAAATAACTTTTTGTCATATTTGTTGAAACTTTCACTATATCCTGACAGTAGTACATGAGACAGATAATCTTTACATGAATTTACCAGGCCTGAATGAAAACAACCAATCAGAGTCAAGAAAGATAGAAAGACTCTTTGTTCTGGAGGCTTGTTGAGTCGTATTCCCAGAGCCCCAAAGTGTGTGCCCTGGGAATGAGACACAAAACAAGGATTCTTGCAAATTCCTTGCAAATACAGGCAAAGGGCTGCATGGTCTCTGCAGATACAGATACTGCAACACATGAGTGGATCATAAGTGATGATTGAGAGGAATTATGTGTTATGTTGTTATGAGTCTATACACTGTTCCTTTAAGAAAATCCTACAGAGTACGCCTTTATCTATGGAGTACAATCAGATTGCTTAAGTAAATGAAATGCTGAGAAACTGGCAACTCTTTCTCTTCAAAATGAGGAAACAGCTGTCATTTCCTGTTTGTGGCCTTGAACAAAAGGCATAGTTCACAGTCAGGCGTGGTGTGAGAGGGGTAAAGCAGATCCACCAGTTTCTGACCTTTATTCAGATAAAATGCAATGTCAGACCATCCTTATCCTACATTATGTATTCCCTTAAAGTCTGGGTAATACATTTCATTTGTTTCATAACTCACATACTGCAGTTGCAGGCAAAGGGGAGGTTCAACAGTTCATGGCACCTCATTTGATGATCTGGTTTCTCTATTTAGAGTATCGTTTTGCCAAATGTTGCGTAAGTAAGGAACGCTGCTATTAACCATGCAGGGGAACACTTAAACTGAAACTTTGGCCACAAGAATGTATGAGGAAGGGTCCCACTGTACAGAGGTTGTTCCCGTATCAGGAACTTACATGTACACCTCATGTGACTCGCTCTCTTCCACAGAAATACACAGATCTCGACTGATTTCCGCACGCAGTCCTCAGTCTTGAGGTGTAAAGTCATGTAGTTTAAACATCCCCTCCAGACATACATACAATAGTCTGCTTGGAACAATATTTTCTGCTTCTCCTTCTACCTCATTAAAGCTTCCAGAATCTATGAATATGCAAATGTTAAAATCTGATTTTCAATGAGCACAGAGAAACCTTCCACTTTCAGCAGATGAATGTGAAAACATGCTACATTCTAGTGTCAAACTCTGCACATTAAAACATCACACTGTAGGCACAAGAAGAAACTTAAAGTCCCCTCTGACTGGAGGGGACTTTAATTTCTATAATATTGGTTTCAAAGGGAAACTGAAGTCCGACCTTGTGGCACTGGGGTGAACAGTCCCCTGGATAGTGATGGTCCTGCCAGGCTGAAGTCCACCACTGATCATGTTTTTATATGGAACAACCTGCACAGAGACAGTATAGGAAAATGAATTATACAAACACACACATAATCCATTCTTGTTAAAGAGTTAATTTATAGACCAAGTATGATAAAACTGCTTCTAGTTTGCCATCACATCCAGACAGTGACGTGGTTTTCCTATGAAAGAGCTAATGAAATACAGCTGCTGTGAAATCACTGCATAGAGTTTGGCCAGAAAAGCACTGGAAGTTTAAATCTGTAGAGAGCAGTTGCTTTTTGTAATTCTTGATCTGTTACAGATAAGGAAGTGTTATGCCCTATGCCGTTACAATTCCTGTCTTCTTTATCTTCTAGTCTACATGTGGTGGTCAATATTGACCACAACCTACAGTCATGTCATGTCTACCTCAAACCCAAAAGCTTTATAGGGGGTCATGAGGCTTTCTTAATTTTAAGTGGTGTAATGAAACTTAAAAATTATAAACAGTAAGCCTAAAGCTCAGCATCTTGTTTATTTTTGTGAAGAAAACTAAATAAAACTGTTATTTTTAAAGTGTAGATTATCTAAGATCTAAGCTTTGAACAACCACAACACAAGCTGTGTTTACCAAGCTTTCACTCTCTGCTAAACAGCCTCATCCTGTGTTAGAAAAATACTCAGTTACACAACCAAAGAGCTAATGCAACAATGGTGAAGGGTCAGGGAAAAGAAAACACTCTGAGAGAAAAAGAAACTCTGCAGGAATGCAACCTGGAGATGGTCCAGATTTGTGGGGGAAACCACATGATGGCTGACGACTATGGAAAGTAGTAGTATACTGCAGAATCTAAGTTTATTCCAGAATGTACTGGAAATGTTGTAAGGCCTCTTCCTGGCCTTTTCCAGGATACACGCACACACACACACACGCACACACACACACACACACACACACACCAGTCCTGGGGGCTGTGTCTGAAATCTTCGTAACCGAAAACCGATAATACATTCACACTTACTTCACGCCATGATGGGTTAGCTATGCAGAGGTCAGTCAGGAGGAACATTTCTGGCCTATGATTATTATGCAGGCTACAGGGCGTCTGTCACTGCTGAACTGAACAGTAAGATCAGAAAACAACAAGGCTTAATACTAAAGATAATCGCATGTACTTTATGCTTGTAACAGAGGGAATTAGAAAAAATACCTGTCTCTCAAATAAGCCTGCTTCAAAATAAAGGCCTGGTCCCCCCATTCTCACGGCCACTATTTTTGAATTTACAGCATGTTATTTTAGAGAAAAAGTTTACATCAAGATACGTACATGATGCAAATGACAATCATCCTATTCATCATTTGCATCCTCTTCATCATCATCCATATTTGTATGAATTCCATCAACAAGGGTTTGCCCAGGCTTCATGGTGGGTTGTAAGCCATTCCTGATTTTCAGGGGTGTAAGAAAACTTTGAAAATAAAATATGAAATATCCAAAAAATATTTCATATTTCATATCTCGTAGCCCTGTTCTGGATAGTGTTCTTGAGCCCATTTCCAGATATATACTTGGAAGTTGACTGTGCAGCAAGAAGCCCCTTTTGCAAGGTGTGAAGGTTGAAAGATCAATAAAGAGACATAGTCGAAGCTTAAGCCACACATTTTCTTGACCGTTATCTCTGTTGCCTCATCAGCTTGCTTGACTTGAGGACCGAAGCCATAGAGGTGACAGGTGAACTCTTCAGTACCATCAATGCCCAAGAGTTCCCCCACTGCAGCAAGGTAGGCTAGGCAATATATCAAATATATTCATATACTGGAATATCAACAAATGTTAGATAGTCTTATTCAAGGTTCACTGTTAGGTGTTTCCTTGGATTTTGGGCCATCACAGCAAAAAGAAATCACTTAAAAAGTTACTATACAAACATTTTGTAATGTTTGCTGTGGAGCTGTGAATATTTGGGAGTTTTTTTGGGAGCTATTTTATTTGACTTGTAGTTGACATCTGTCTCTTAGCTACTAGCTAGATTTTTACAGTGTGAACAAACTCAGAGGACGAGAAGATGGAATAGTTACCCAAGCTTATCTACACACAACTACCCCTAATAGCATGAACTCTTTTGTTGCTGCGACAATGTGCCTGTACTTCTCTCACTCACCGGGAAAGACTCACTAGAGTCCATTACACACAGATTACCCACATGTGCAACCTAACATGGGTTGGGTGTGCTAACCAAGAAGTATTCAGGTCCATTACTTAAAGGAACAGTGTGTACGGTATGCACTGCTGGGAAGTAGCAGCATTCCATGTCAGGGCAAATAAATTATGTGGTATTAGGTGCACAGACCCGTGCTCTTGCTGATACCCAACACTGCATTTTAGGCAGTAACCGAGGAATTTCTGATACTAGTATCAATATCAGAACAACTCTAGTTAGCTTTTTTATTTTAGTGTTGCTGTGGGACAAATTTATATAGTTATATATATACTCCCGATCACCAGAGACCAGCAACAACTAGCGTTAATGAACGGAGAGCAAGCTCACAGTGCCCGAACTGTCTTGGGCCACTGTAAGGGGCGAGTGATGAGAGACAAACTGGAAAATCAAGGGGACTCGCTCAGCTGAGCTGTGTTTGTCTGCCGGCTTCTGCTGTTTTTGCATTTTTCGGGTAAGACAAAATTAACGGGTAACAAGCCGAAAAAAGGTCGGTGTGTAGGAATTAGTGGCATCTAGTAGTGAAGTTGCAGATTGCAACTCACTCGCTTCACACCGATTTCAAGTGTTGAGGGAGAAACTATGGAGGTTGTGAGAAATGTGAAAGGCTCTGTCTTCAGCCAGTATTTGGCTTGTCTGTTCAGGGCTACTGTAGAAACATGGTGGTTCAACATGGCGGCCTCCATTTTTTTAACAGCTCATTCTAAGGTAACGAAAAAAAACTATTTTTATATTCAGGTGATTATAATAATATTCAATTTCTGCCAATAGACCCGCCTAAATGCTACACACTGGAGCTTTAAATCGAAAACATAACTCGATCCGCCAAAACTAGAAGAATTAACGCTTTACTTTGTAACATTAACATAAAATGTTCTTTTTTTTCATTGCTTTTTCTTTTGCATTGGACAGAAGCAAAAACCAGAGACAGATATCTCAAAACCTGGACAAATAAAACCAAAACTATCTACATGGCCAAATACCAGTCGGAGTAAATGAATGTGAAAACTCTGTAGGCTTCATTGCTCACTTGTAACTGTTTGTTTCACTAGCAATGTGTGCTGCCACCAGAGCAGCTCTGGAAAATGTCTGTAGAACTGTATGGTAATTCCATGCTGCCTAATACTCACAGGCATTGCAGGAGGAAATCCAGGCTGCGGCGGGAATCCGGGCTGCGGGGGGAATCCAGGATGTGAGGGGAATCCAGGCTGAGGTGGAAATGCAGGAGGGTAGGCAGCCAGAGTAGGAAAGCCTACTTGTGACGCAAACGCAGTCTGTACGGGAAAGTAAACCGGAAATGAATTATTTAATCTCATTAAAGTACTCTACATATTGCAGCTGATTTACTATAAGAGCTTTTAAAATGATCCCTTCACCTCAACTGCTGTCTTTCAACGTGATTTGATAAAACCTCTTTCCAGGTCCCCTGTGTGTGTGTGTGTGT